ACTTATTTATTAACCGGTGATAGATAAGGAAAACGACGTATTGGGGTCAACATAAAATATCAAATAATCACTTGAAAAAATATGAAATAAGTTTGGTAAGTTTATGCTTGAGATAATAGTACTGAAACAGCTGTCGTTCGTCTATAAACCTTTTTATGCGTGTTTCTTTCCACTATTATATTCTAGCATATTATAATTATTATTGTATTTAAATAATATAAAACATCAATGAATTTTTTAAAACTTTTTCCAGAAAATAGAATGGTTTCTTTGAATAATCCAGAACTAAACAAATATTAGCTTGTTATCAAACTCACCTTCAGTTTTCGATGTAACATTATTTGGTTCTTTACGTAGAGCTTGTTTTTCAAGAGAAATGTGATTAAAATCCAAAAACAATAATCTAATAGCACAATCCTCTTCTACAACTTCAGAAGGAAGGTGAAATTTGAAATGGAGTATTTCTAAACCTCTTTTTCTGAAGGCTCTGTGTAAGTTTGCCCATAAGCATAAATTTATGAGTTTGTCACCACCATCCAGTTCATAATTTATATTGTACTCCATGTTTTCAGTTTTGTCATTTAAATATTGATTTGCCTCCTGAAAAATGTACCTTTTTTAATAAATTAATCAGGGATATCTTTTGAATAGTTTCTGAAAAAAAAATTGAATTACATCTCTTTTGATGTAGTACAGCCTTTACACATAAGGGATTGCAAGTTAATATTTGAGTAAAAAAAATTAAAATAGAATCACTTTCAAATATTGATAAATTATTATCACTATTTAACCCTTTGGAGCAGATGGAACACCAGTGTCTCTTTTATATATTTTTTTTTCTGACGTTCTAATTACAAGCAAAAATATATTTTATTTTTTAACTATAAGATACAGCCTGATAATTACAAAAAATCAGAAAATCAGAATTATATTTGTACTAAAATATAAAATCCAAAAATAAGTAATGTCAAAATTTTATTTCATTCATATTCAAAAATGTTCATGTTCATATTGTTTCTCTGAGATGTAAACAACTGCAAATAAGTGCGAATTTGAAAAATTATTGTTTGAAAGTGAGCCCTGTTTGGAAGATATAACCTTTAACGCGGAAAAAGACTCCGGTGTTTCATGCTGTATTTCATAATCATAAATTATTAAAATGATAAATATAATATATTTTACTAATTTTTACCTAAATTAATACAAACTAATGAAAAAGTATGAAAAACATGTTTAATTAAAATTCTGTGTCAAAGGGTTAAGTTCAAAAGGGCACAAAGAGGGTATTAAAATCATGAAAAGTAGTGGGACTGGAATGCATACGATTTTTGTTAGAAATCGCCGAATAAAGTAGTTTCAGTTGATTAGTTGATGACTTTCCCTTAAATATTAATTTTATCAACCCTAATGTGTATAGCCTTTGACTTATTTTACAAGAATTAGAAAAATATAAATTAAGGACCATCACTATGAAACAGAGAGAAGCAATGAGGTTGCGGATACTCTATTGAAGAGTGCTTCTGGAAAGCATATCTATGCATATGCTTCATGCTTTTATAAACCAGCATAAGATAATTTTTTTTGGAACCCCCATGGTACTTTTCTGCTTTTTGAAATCCATGAAAAGCAGAGGGTTTGTCAGGCATGAACCAAGAGGAGAGCTGCTCGGGTATAGCATTTTCCTGTTTTATGTCTTGATCTTACCCGGGTGAGAATTTTTTTTCTGTTGGAGGTTTATGTTGTAATTTCAATTGATCATTCCGGTAATTAGAAACAACAATTATAAGAGCCGTAGTGGTTCATGGGATATAAGCTCGAATCTCACGGATGATAGGTCGATGCGAATTTTGCCCCTAGCTCGCACAGACTACAGAAATGACGGAAAATATCCTTAGTGGTTGATGGATTATTGGGTCAGAATTCTCTTTCCGTCGGACCAGCAACGGAAAAATTTCGTGGTTTTCCTTTTCATGAAACATAAGAAGTCCTCCTCGAAGGTTAGTTTGTACAAAAGATAGATCCAGGAGTTTCCGTGATTTCTGGGTTGTTGGGTTTAAAATCACAAGGCTATGGAGTTGAAGATTGATAGTCGTAAGCTCGAAAATGAGTCGGCTATTATATAATAATTAAGAACAATGGGACAACAACAACAGACAACGAACAACTTGCATCTAGGAGAGAGGAATCAGTTAGCTTAATCACCTCGTCTACTCGGGACACTCTATTTGTTAGTTTGTCTAGAATTTCCGGTCCAATATTATTCCCATTGCACTGTAACACTGCCACTTATGATTTTGCAGTTTATAGATTTGTATTATTAAAAGTGTATTAGTTTTTATATTTTTCATTACTGTTGATTCCAGATTTAAAGACACAATAATTTAATTAAGAGATTAAATAAGTACAAAAAAATGCGAATTTCTATGAAAGTTGGTCACATTTTAAAATAGAAATTGAGATACAAAAATAAGTTAAAGTAAAATAAAATAAAATTAAATAAAACGTTTCACGTGGATGTAAAAAGGCGAAAATAATTTGATTTTTGACAAACCAGATAGGAAGAAAGTAAGGCTCATCTCTTTCAAAAGACAAAGTAGAGATGTTTGGTGGTGATGGAAGTTTATTATGAAAACTATATGCTCTTAGCATTTTTCGATGACAGAAGTCGAATTATATTTCCATTTTTTCATTCACTTGAAGGACATAGTTTTAAAAGCTTTTACTTTATTTTATTATTCTCTACTTTTAAGTTTTATGCCTGTTAGATATAGTCGAAAATGTATTAAAAAATTTTGCGTTTGTTAATAAATTTAGCTTGAACTATTTAGAAAATGATTGCCTACTGTTATCAGACACAGATCAGACTTAAGCATTCTAGCTAGTCGAAATTGAGATTAACTTTGCTAAATTTTTGAGATAAATTTTACTTGACGAACTGAATTATTCTTATACAGGTCAAGTAATAATAGAAAGAAGTATTTCCATCTAACAGAGTTTGTTCATTTAAGAACACTTTAACCAGTTAAAAAGTAGTCGAAACTAACTAACTTTCGTAACTAACTAAAAGTTAGATGTCAGGAACTCTTCCCAATACATGTTTCTCCCTCTCTTTTTTTAAATTTTTTTTACGATCAATGTTTGTTACTGAAATGAATGGAAGCAGCTTTATAAGATGAATTAAAGTACTGTATTGGGCAAGCTTTTGATGAAAGAATAAAAAATAAAACGAGGTATATATTGCATCAAAACAAGAAAAATACCCCAGTAACTACCTAACTTTTCAGGATTTCGCTGGGGCGAATTTTTAATCTGGATGTATTTATATAGTACCTATGTTACTAATGAAGCTCAAAAGCCGTTATTGTGCACATTACCGGCAAATCTGGAATAATTTATTTTCTGGTGCGGGATCATTGATTTTCCACAATTTACCTAGGTTATGTACGTAGGTAATGATTTGCTCAATATTGATTTACCTAGGTAATAATTTACTCAATGTTGATTTTTTTGAAGAAAAAAAATTATTTTGTACTATAACCGTCGTTGATTATCCGACCCAATTTTGAGTTTACGACTACAAATGTTCAACTCCGTATCCTTGAATTTTGATCACAATCCAGAAAACAAAAAAACTCCGGGATCAAGTATAGGGGAAAATTTGCCTTCATTAAGGGCTTTTTGATGAAACTAAAACGCATTTGCCTTACGTGGGGAGGAAAGACACGAAAACTTTCCACGGTTAGCCTGACGGCAAGGGGACTCTAACCCATGATCCGTCTACCACTGAGGATATTTTACGTCTGCACTGTGGTCAGTGTAAGCCGGGTGCTGAATTCGAATCGACCAAGAGCGCTCTTCCTCCAATGTTTGATTGCATTTATTGACTTGATTCTTTAGATATCGAAAGTTTAGCAACTGACATGTTGATTTCCTTAACTGTAGTAATATTTTTAACCGCTTGATTCCTTGTATTATAGTTTCTTAAAGTGATTGAAATTAAAAGATTGATCCTATCAACTAATGTGCTGATTGTTTGATTATACTAACTTATTTTTTTAGATAGCGAAAAATAAATAAATTACATTAAAGATGTTATTTTCACTAACGAATGTCTGGTACGTAATATGCAGATTATAAAGATAGTCTGCAGATTTCTTAAATAAATTGAGAAATAAAATATTTTTTTTGGAATTTTAACGGATCAACCAAGTAAATCTGCTCATTAGCATAATGATTATCTATAGAATAAACGATTTCAACACTTTAGCTGTAACATCTATATTCAACTTCTCATACCTACAATACTTAATTTCTTATATCGTTTCTAGTAAAAAATAAAAAATAATTGACAATTTAAAATATAGGAATGTATACCTTAAGAAGAATGAAAGAGGCTTCATCCAGTTTTTTAAATATATTATCTTTTAATTTAGAAATTCCCTGAAATGATAAGTATACTTGTGTTAACATTTTGTAAAGCATGTATAATGGTATTAATGAGGAAAAATAGAATCAATAAAACTTGATAGAATTTTCTCTTTTGTGAAACGTAAATAAAATCCTACTTCACACCAAAGTTTCAATGTTTTCTCCCCAACACAAGGATACATATATCCAGCATTTTCAATAACATCGATTAACTGAAAATTAAAGTAAGATAATTAAAGTTTATTCTTAAATAGTTAATTTTATAGTTTATATTTAAAGTTAAATAAGTACGGATTTTTCTTCTTGTTCCTAATAGCCTTTTAATGATTTGTACTAAAGATTTTAATTTCGATATTCTTTTTTTTTTTTTTTTAATTCTAAGCTTTTTTTAAAATTTTATATTTTTCTTCCATTTTTTAAAAACTTTCCAGTTTTTTTTAAAAAAATATATTCTTTTTTAGATTTTATAAATTTTTTTTTTGCCTTTTTAAGTATTTTACAAAATGTTCAATGAAAATTCTAAAAATGAAAATAATGTTAGTTTCCAAGGAAAAAATAAGTTTTTATTTTATATTTGTGTTATATATGTGTTTACATTTATGTAAATTAATTATTACTATTTTTAATGTGAGTCAGATGTCATTCTTTTTGGATGTTATTGTCCAGGCAATTGTCAATTTCGTAGCACTTTTTTTCGAAAAATACTGAATCGATATTTTAAATTGTTTCCTTGTTTGAATCCTCCGTTTTTACAGAATATTTTAGCTGGGGTGTTTTCAAAATTGAGGAAATATGTTTTCTTATAGTAGAACGATATTTAAAAAGTTTCTTTCTGTTTTTATTCTTTTTTTGTTTTGTTTAAGAAAATTTCTACAAATTTAATAAGAAAAACAAAGGATCGAAGAAAAGGGTTAAACTATATACACCATAACATGTTTTTTTTTTCTTTTTTTTTTTTCTCACCCATTTGTCCAATAATCCTTATCATTCAATAGAGAATATGTGTAGTCGAAAAAAAGAGACAAAATTCACTGTCAAATTTTTACGTACAATCTTAATTGCTTAAAAGCGTTGTTTGTCATCTTTATTAACAATTGCAAACGGCAATTTGAATCAAGTAATAAAACTGAAAAATA